GGGTTCCTGTGTGCACGTGACCTCCTTATAATTCCATGTGCTTTCGGGTGCGGTCTAAGCGGCTGCCCATCGCAGGAGTAACCGATCCTGCCTGGGGGAAGGGGCTGAGCAGGGCTGGATGGGCTGCTGTGGAACCTGAGAAGGGATTTGCTGCCAGGCCAGCATTCGACGTTGTTGCTATTTGCTGGGTGAAACGAGGGAGAAAGGCAGAGAAGGAAAAAAGGGCTGTTTTAAAAGGGAAAACATTGTACATACCGTGTTTCCCCGAAAATAAGACATCCTCCAAAAATAAGACCTAATGCATGGAAAGCTAAGACATCTCCTGAAAATAAGACCTAGTGCAACTTTGGGAGAAAAAATTAATATAAGACACTGTCTTATTTTCAGGGAAACAGGGTAACATCATACACATTCAGGCATACGTGTTTGCACACAATCGCCAACCACAACATACAACTTGCTTTTAATGCTCTATTATGATGGTTGAATAAACAATCATAGAATATTTTACAGTGAGTGCCTGCATATCCACCACCCAGATGCCGGCCATCAGCATTTTGCTCTCCTGCCTTTATCACATAATTATCCACTTAGCCATTTCTCTACCCATCCATCAACCCATCGTTTCTGTTGTTGTTGCTGTTGAAATGAATTTCAAACACAGACATCCTTTAACTCCCCATAAATACACCCGACCACATATCATTAATTAGTCCAATATTTGTTTACATGTGTTCTTTTGACTTGAAATTTATATGCAATGAAACGTACACATTTTAAATGAACATTTGCTGAGTTTGATAACTCCATCTGCCTGTGTAACTCAAAACTTTATCAACATATAGAACGTTAGGGTTACTCCAGAAAGTCCCCTCATCCTTTCCAGGCAATCCCTGACACACACACACACACACACACACACACACACACACACACATACACGCATCATCACCATCATTATCATCATTATCTTGTCATTTGCTTTTCACTGACCATTACAACAAAATACTTTTTCTGTGTTCCTTTATATATATTTGTATATATATCCATTGAGGTTATATATTTTTCTGAGATATATTAATACTTATACATTATGTGAATATATTATGTACTATATATATTTCTCAATGTGTAGGACTACTATTACAGTTTTGAATGTTTGTCTTATATACAGGAAACTTATTAAACACTCCTATTTTTAAAATAGTTTTTCTGTAGAGTCTTTTGGATTTTTTCTATAGATTATCATGTTATCTTTAGAGAGAGAGAGGGAGAGAGAGGAAAGAGAGAAGAGATATTGATTGTGCTCTTCCTTTCCGATCATCTTGCTATTTCTTTCCTTGTCTTTTCTTATCTCGATGTCCAGCACTCCTGAGAATGGATGTAAAATAGAAATGTTAAAGTCAGTCATTCTTATATTGATTTTAACTTCATTAAAAACACAGCTTATGTTTCATCATTAAGTCACTAAGTAGGATACTTATTATACATTTTTGGTAATATTCTTCATCAATTAATAAAGTTTATTGGCACAATTTGGTTATAGTTTACAATGCTTTCTTAGCATCTATTGAAATGATCTGGATTTTATCTTCTAACCTATTGATATCATGTATTATATTAGTAGGTACTATTCATGTTAAACCATCCTTGAATTCCTGAGATAATTGTCAGAACTTCTAATGGGTTGTAATTTATTTTTTAATATGCTGAAAATTCCATTTGCAGTTATTTCATTAAGAGTTATTTTGCCTCTATGTTAATAATTGAAATTGGTCTTGAATTTTTTGTGCTGCTGTTGCCAAATTTTATGTGTCAAGGTTATACTGATTTTGTCTGAGTTGGGGAAGAAAAGTTTTATAATGTTTCAACTTCTTAAATTATAATTGGATCATTACATCATGTTTTTCTTAAGCACATTTTGATAAATTATAGTTTTCTAGAAAGTTGCCTATTCCCTCTACCTTTCAAATATTCATGTAAATATATTTATAGTATTATCTTATAGTTTTAAAACTCTCCTGTATCTATTACCTAAGACTTTTCTCTTCTTTTCTTAATTAATTAACTCACAGTTTATCTATTTCATTAGATTATATTTTTCTATATTCTATATTTCCATGGTTTTCCAAATTTTCTGCAGTGACTAATTAGCTAAAAAAGAAATAATTAACTTTTTTTTTTTTATTGAGTAAGGTATTACATATGTGTCCTTATTTCCCCATTGCCCCCCATCCCACTCCTGTACATGCCATCACTCCCCTGGTGTCTGTGTCCATTGGTTAGGCTTATATGCATGCCTACAAGTCCTTTGGTTGACCTCTACCCCTTACCTCCACCTTCCCCTACCTTTCCCTCTGAGGTTTGAGCATCTATCTGATCGATGCTTCTCTGTCTCTAGATCTGTTTTTGTTCAACAGTTTATGTTATCATTATAATCCACAAATGAGTGAGATCATGTGACACTTATCTTTCTCTGACTGACTTATGTGTAAAAAACAAAAAACAAAGAAAATCTATATAAAGTACCTGGTACTTAGAAGTACCTGTCAAATATTGGTAGAATTGATATCTAAAAAATATTGTTGAGCACATATCAGAGACTAGAGATTCAACTATGATCAAGACATAATTTGTGCTTCCAAGGAGCTCACAGCTGAATTGGGGAGACAGGCAAGTAAATAATCAACGAAATACAGAGCAGTAAACAAAGAAGAGGTGAGGACAAGGTGGAGTGGGAATACAGAGAAGGGCTTTGGAAGGAGTTGGTGCCCTGATTGGGAATTGAACTATGACCTCCTGGTTCATAGGTCGACATTCAACCACTGAGTCACGCCGTCAGGCCAGACAAGTTGATTTTAAAACTTATATGGAAGTGCAAAGGTCAGGAATAGCCAAGTCTTAAAGAAAAAAAAGTGGGTAGACTTTTCTATAGGGCAGTAAGACACTCAAAAGTTATAGCAATCCAGACATTGTGGGAATGGCACTGGGAAAGAAAAATAGGTGAATGGATCAGACTACAGAATTCAGAAACAGTCCCATGCACACATGGAATGCTTGATTTATGCCAAAGTTAACACTGCAGAGAAGTGGCAGGGGGAGTGATCTTTTCGACGCATAATGCTGGGTCAGTTGGATGTTCAGATGAAAAAAAAAATGGAAAGGAGGCAGTGAGAAATTCCCTCTGATGAGATATGGCAGTGTGTTTCCAGAAACAATGACTCCTGCATTTATTCACACGTTTTTTCCTTTCGGAGCTGTAATTTCCCTATGTTATTCCCTAGCTTTTGGTGAAAACGTTTCTCACACGTATCTTGTATATTAATGGATCCTTATGGCCACTGTCGACAAAATAAAGTCCAAATCTACATAAAAACTTTATAAGAGTTTATTTGAAGTCAAATCTGAGGCCTGACCCAGAAGCAAAATCTCAAAGCATGAAGAAAATGCTTTAAAGAATGGCTGTTTTGCAGTTCTTTTTATGCATTTAGAACGAAAGGAGAGAGTGTAAGGAAAGTCACATGAAGTCCATTGGGTAGTAGCTTAAGGAAGTGGAAGGAAGCAGAGTGGGGAAATCTCTAGGACTGGGAAAAATTAAATGGAGAGACACATACTTTTTCACATCGCTGGGTACGGGACACCGAACGTGAAACAATGAGAGCATTAGAGAGGGTGTGCAGGCCACCAGATGACAATGTGGGCTCTCCGTTGGTTTTGTGCTCCAGTGCTGGTGGTTGGGTCTCTGAGGGACCTGGAAGAGAGAATTAACTCTGACATTTCAAAGGTACGTTACCCTCGATGCACAATAACGGACAGAGCTTGCTTAAGGTAACAACGGACCTTGCTAAAGAAGCGATGGGCCTGGAATGTCCTACCCACCATGATATAATCAGGAATGTACGATCACATCAGCCTGTGTGGTCACTTGCCAGCACTGAGTTAGTTAGGCTTGCCTTGTGCGTGCCCTCCCACGCCCCACGCCCACGTTCGCCTGTCAGGTCTGCCATGGAGCACCTTTCACCTTCACATCGCCAACAGAGGGCCAGCATGGCTCAAGTCACAACCAAGGCTCCCTTCCTTCTCTCCAGATAGCACCCCTGCTCCATCCTGACCCACTCCCGCCTCCTGGCCCTCCCAGCCAGGCAGTGCGGGAGAGTCCATAGGAGTCAGGCGTGCAGTGCAGACCACAGTGCAGACACTTCTTGGATGGAAGGGGAGGAGCGACAGACCAGCTGTGACAGGTGATGTGAGGCGTGAGGGGGTGCGGGAGGGGGCCCTGTCTCAGTCCCCTCTGGCCCTGCCATGGGGGCCATCCCATGTCTGTCCAGGACACCATGAGGGGGCAGATTCCGGACCCCTCCTCAGAACTCCCGTTTCCAGACCACTCCCTAGGCCCCTCTGCTCCAGGCAGGAAAGGGGACAGCATCCTTCTGCCTTCTCCCAGGGGTTCCGTCTTGGAAACTCTGGAGGCAGCGGGGGCCGGTGCACCGGGTGCTCCATCGCTGACACACAAGTCCTCGCCTCGGTCCGCTCTGATGGGAGGTGAGAATAATAAAGTCCGTTCGCAGGGACTCAGATTGGGGGGCAAGCAGGGCGCCCCTGGTCCCCACCAGAGGACAGACAGCTCGCATCTCCCGTCTCCGAAGGCGTTCCTCCCCGCGTCCCGCCTCCTCCCTCTCCCGCACCCGAGCCGCGGGGGCTCAGCGTCGCCTCTGCTATTGGGGGCGCCGCTCCGGGGTCTGTCCTCTCGGCCCGGGGCCACAGGCGGGGCGCACGGGGTCCCCGGGGCGGGACAGGCGCACGCCCGCCGGACCCCCGGCGGCCCGGCCGGAGGGGCTCCCCGGCCCCCCTGCCCCGCGGCTGCGCCCGCGGCCGGAACAATAGCGGCGGCGGGGCGGGCGGCGGGCGGCGGGCGGCGGGCGGGCTCTCCTCCGGCGCCGCCCCCGGCCCGCCCCCCGCGCTCACCGCTCCCCGCGCCGCCGCCGCCCGCACTGCCCGCCATGGACGTCCGCCTGTACCCCTCGGCGCCCCCGCTGGGCGCGCGGCCCGGGCCCGAGCCGGCCGGCCTGGCGCCGCTGGACCCCTTCCCCTGCGGCAAGGTAGGCGGGTGCCCTTCGGACCCCGAGCCCGCAGCCCGCAGCCCGCAGCCCAGCGCCCGGCTTAGCGGCGGGGGCCCCGGCGGGGCGTCCTCTCGGCGGGACCCGGGGGAGGGGGGGCCGGCGGCCCCGCGGTGGGGACACGCGCCCCGCCGCCCGCAGGGGCCCCCGCGCTGCCCCGGACCCGCTCCCGCGCGCGCCCGAGCCGCGCTCATCGCCGGCAGAAGTCACCCCGACAGGCGCTCCCTCCGCGGCGACAGGGACGCGCACCCCCACCCGCGGCCCCCGACAGCCTCTCCTTCCTCCATCCATTCATCCATTCATTCATTCATCCATTCATTCATTCATTCACTCACTGTCCGGCGGACCCGCTGCCGCCCGACAGCCCCGCGCCCGCCCGCAGCCCCGCCGCCCCACGGCCGCCCTGGCAGCCACGCACCGGGACCCGCGCCCTCGCACCCCGCACCCGCACCAGCACCCCGCACCCTGCACCCCGCACCCCGCACCCCGCACCCTGCACCCCGCGCCCTCGCACCCCGCACCCGCACCCGCACCAGCACCCCGCACCCTGCACCCCGCACCCCGCACCCGCACCCCGCACCCGCACCCGCACCCGCACCCGCACCTGCTCCGCGCGGCCGCCGGCACCGGGCACGGCCGGGGGCGCACAGAGAAGGCGCCCGACAGCCGCCCGCGCGCTCCGGACGGCGGCTCCCACGGGCCCCGGCCCCGCAGGGCAGCCCCGGCCCCGGCCACGCACCGGCTCCCCCGGCCCCGCCCCGGCCCCGCCACACTCGGCCTGTCCGGGTCCAACTTGTCCGGCTCCGGGCGCTCGCCGGCCGCTGGCTGATGGGGCCGCGGGGCCGGGGCTCCGGGGTGCGATGGCCCGTGCAGGCCGGCCCGGCCCTGAGCGCCGCACGGAGCCCCAGGCCGGGTGCAAGGGACCCCCCCCCCCCTCCCGGCTCCCTCCGCCCCCGGCCGCCGCCCCACCCGCCAGGCCCCGCAGCGGCCCGTTAGGTGCACCTGCGCCGCCGCCTCCGGCCTCGCCCGCCGCCCGCCGCCCGCGGGGAAACTTCACAACTTAGTCAGGAGCCGGCTGTCCGCGTCCGCGGGGCCGGGAGGCCGGCCGGGCGGCTGCGGGTCACGCGGAGCCCGGATTGGGCGGCCCGGGCGGAGGCGAAGGCGCTGCGGGGTGAGTGCGGGCGCGCCCGGCGGTGGATCGCAGCCTCCGGGGGTCTCAGCTCCACCCCAGCCCGGCTTTCCCTCCGCCCCGGCTGTGGGGTGCCCCCCGGCTGTGGGGTGCTCCCCGGCTGTGGGGTGCCCCCTGGCTGTGGGGTGCCCCCCGGCTGTGGGGTGCTCCCTGGCTGTGGGTTGTCCCCCGGTTGTGGGGTGCTCCCCGGCTGTGGGGTGCCCCCCGGCTGTGGGATACTCCCCGGCTGTGGGTTGTCCCCCGGTTGTGGGGTGCTCCCCGGCTGTGGGGTGCTCCCCGGCTGTGGGTGCTGTGGGGCCGGGCTCCCCGCGGCGGGCCTCTCGTGGCCCTGAAGTCGGGGCAGAGGCTGGAGCGCCGGCAGAGCCCCCGCTGTTTGCCGCTGGCGGGGCGCGGGGCTGGGGCCTCAGGGCCTGGGGCGGCCTGGAGGTGGGGGTGGCCGGCCAGTGAGGTCTCTCCGGGATGGCGGTGATTGTCTTTTTGTCCGGTGACCCGCCAAGTTAGAAGCCGGAGGGGTGTGTGTGTGTGTGTGTCCCGGGGAGCAGGCTGGCTCTCTGGCTGTGTCCACGCTCACGGAGGAAACATGGACTAAAAGCAGCGAGTGGAGTCTTCAGGGCGGAGAGGACAGTTGGGTGTGGGGGCAGCAGGTCTGTCGCCTGCCCTTGGTTTTGTTATTTTTTAAAACGCGAAGCGGGCAAGGCTCCAGCCTCTGGTCTGGGGATGCGTCTGGGGGTTGGGGATTTGTGCCCCGTCGGTGGGGAGGGGAGTGCCCCGGTCAGGGAGCCCTCCTCTGGGGGCTGGTGTGTGTGAGTCTCTCCAGAGCAGGCGGTCCCATAGGGAGCCTTCGGGAGGCGCACTCGAAGGGCCCTGCTGTCCTGCTGTCCTGAAGCTCTGACTCAGCACCCGGAACCGGTGTGGAAACCCTGTGGGGAGGGAATGAGAAACAGGCGATGCTGGCTTCTGTCCGTGTGGTCTGGGACCCCGCCTGTCCTAGGGCTGAGGGTGTGTCCAGGTGGAGGAAGGTGGCCAGCGGAGCCACGGGGATGGGTGAAAGCAAGGTCTGACCTTGCCCTTGGACGTGAGACAAGCTTCTCGGGACTTAGGGCTTGTGACGCGGCAAGCCCCTTGCTCAGCGAGGGGTGGGCCAGGGGCCTGTGAGCAGCAGATCCCACACAGACGGTGGCCTCCCGCAGTGGTGGTGGTGTGTTCCTTGTATTGTGTATATCCATAGTTTGTTCCATTTTATTGCTAAGTTGTATTACATTGTGTGCTATAGCACAGTTGCATTATCTGTTTGTTATGACCAGAAGCTGAGGGTGAGGGGTTGGGGAGGGCAATGCCCGGGCTGCATCCTTCAGCCAGTCACTGTCAGAACCGGCGAAGAAACCACGGTGCAGCCACAGCCACACGCAGGGCCCGTAGATGGGGCTGCAGAACCGGGACACAGGCTGCATGCGGGGGGCCGGGTCCTCGGTGTCCGGACAATAGGCTTGTCCCCAAGCGACCCGGGCCTGGGAAACACGAGGGCAAGCATTTGCCCAGGTGGTACCGGGCAGTCGTGCGCAGCTGACCTGGAAGGGCCCTTGGCGACTGTCCCCTTAGCGATCCTCTCTCTGCACAGAGATCCCAGCCTCTTTAGACCAAAGCCAGGAGCAGCGGCTGTTCCTCTGGTGTCTCTTGTTTGAGAAAACACACAATGGAAAAGTGCCGCTATGGCTTTTAATTTTGCTTTAGATGTGTGTTTTGTTGATCAGTAATATTAGCATGCATTTAAAAAATAGCTTACCGGCTACGAGGCAGGCACGTTACTTACTGCACGTGATAACGGTGCTTGGTGAGCGGAGGTGCTTGTGTTCCTGTGGCCCCTAGGATCCTGGGGCACCATACTGGGAACCATTGATCCCCTCCTTCCTTGCTTCACAGAAGGGGAAATTGAGCCAGGGAGTCGTGTACTCAGAGGTTACAGAGCAAGAAGAGAACAGAGCAGAGGCCTGAACCCAAATTTCTTGACTCCCAGCTTGACAGGCATCTGGCCTTCCCACAAGCCTCTGCTGTGGTTGGGGGACTCGGGGGCTGTGACAGCCTTCGTAGGGTAACTGTGAGCACCCTTCCTTCAGATTTCGGCAGGGCACTTGACCACATGGCATTGCCTGGGGCAGACGTGTGTAAACTGACCCTTGGCTTGGGCACACCTGGGTCCACATCCCAGTTGTGTCTTTGTGACCCCAGGGCAAGTGATTTCTTAGCTCATTTTTTGTTGTTGGGATGTGATGTTCCTACTATAAAATGAAAAGTTTAAGTGGACAGCAGTTTTGATGGCACCGCCATCCCATTCCAGATACAGAAGCATTTCCTTCACCCCAGAAAGTCCCCTCGTACTCCCTTCTAGTCTACACCCCTTCCCCCTCCTCCGGAAGAAACTGCGGATCTGATTACTGTTATCAAGCTTTGTTCAGGCTCAGTTCATGTGCACTAAGTATGTTTAAGTTTCAGAACTTCCTATGCAGCAGATACATTTTCGTCTGGCTTCTTTTTGCTCAACACTGTGTCTTTAGGATTCATTGTATTGTGTATATCCATAGTGTTTGTCCCATTTTATTGCTGAGTTACAGTACATTGGAGGCTATAGCACAATGGCATTATCACTTCACCTGATGATAGATATCAGGTTTGTCTCCAGACTGAGCTATTATAAATAAAGCTGCAGTGAACATTCTTATCCGAGTATTTTTGTGGGTGGGACAAATGATTTAGTATCTCCGAGCTTCATTGTTCTCTCAGAGGTTTGGGAGGGTTAAATGAGGGTGTAGGCTAGGCTAGTCCTTGGCACATGCCAGCTATGAATTACCTAATGATGGTACCAACCACCTGGAAGCTATCCTGGTGAGAGACTTAGCATTCCTGCATTTCAAGCATCTCTCCTCCCCAGTGCAGACATCCTCCATGGCCAGCCTGGGGATGGCTTCTTCCATGCAGCGCTCCATGGCCACCCACCTTCCTTCTTCCCCCATGCCGCCCCCAGACTGGTACTGCACAGGATGGATGTTCTGCCATCCATCCATCCATCCATCGGTCAACAGTTATGGAGCATCTCTTTGTGCTAGGCACTGTACCGGGCAATGGATGCTATAGCACTGAACAAATATAACCCAGATTGCTGCCCCCAGGAGCCAATATGTAGTATGGAAATCAATAAGTACATGGGTGAACTATATGGTATTGTGACCAATGGCAATCCAGTTATGGGGGGAAATGAAGCCAGGAAGAGGGTCAGGGCTGCCGAGGCCAGGTGCTGGTTTGCACATTGAGGGGTTGGGGAAAACCTTGTGGTCTCAGCCAGTGGTTCTCAAATGTCTGTACATGTTAAGAATCACGTGGACCTGGCTGCTGGTGTGGCTCGGTGGATTGGGCATCATCCCATGCACCAAAAGGCTGCCAGTTTGATTTCCAGTCAGGGCATGTGCCCAGGTTGCTGGCCTGATCCCTGGTAGGGGGTGTGCAGGAAGCAGCTGATGGATGTTTCTCTTTCACATTGATATTCTCTCTCTCTCTCTCTCTCTCTCTCTCTCTCTCTCTCTCTCTCTCTCATTAAAAAAAAAATCATCTGGCAACATTTTAAAAACTCTCTCTCTCTCATTAAAAGAAATCATCTGGCAAGATTTTAAAAACAGGTTTCTGGGCTCCACCCAGAGATTCTGATTCGTTGGCCGGGGCCCTGAGAATGTGCATGTTTAATGAGCTCCCAGTGAGTCAGTGGTGGTTTGGTTGTCTGTGGGCTCACAGCAGGCAGGAACCA